GCTCTTCACGTTGTTGATGACCTCCTCCTGCACCAGATTAAAGCTCATTGCCAGCAAGGCAATTCCAAATAGCAGGTAGAGCGAACAAAGGGCGATGCCCTGCTGCGCGTCCAGCTTGTACGCCGGCACAAAGTCGCCAAAACCTTAAAAGAGAAGAGATAGGAAATATTACATACGCGAGGTCTCTTGCGGGGTCCTCGTAATTAACATAAGATCATATAGATAGAGAGAGAGAAAGAGAGAAAGAGAGAGAGAGAGAGAGAGAGAGGGAGAGAGAGAGAGAGAGAGGGATGAATGCGAGGGATGAATAAGTGAAAATATTATAAATATAACTTTTTTTACAAGAAGCATTACATTATTTTTGCGGCGCTTTATAAAGAACGATTTATTCAATCGTCTTAGACAGCGCTGATATCTAATTAGATCTTGAATTGATGGCAGATATTTAAATAATTATTTTTTAAATAATTATTTAACCAATAATTTTATTATTTATTATATCTTACGAATAATGATTATATAATAAAGATAATTATTTTATTGGTATTTTAATAAAATCATACAGACTCTTTCAGCTACTAGGAATAAATTAAAAATTAAGGAGCAACAGAAACATTCCAATTTAAAGAGAAAGAAAGGAATGGAAAGAGAACGAACCGATGGTAGTCAACGTAATGAAGCAGAAGTAAGCCGAATCGAGGAGCGACCAGTCTTCCCGCTTGCTGAAGAGATAAGCGCCACCGATTATGTAGCTGACAACTAGGAAGACGCATAGCCAAATGGGCACGGGCTTGGTTGGTTGTCTCTCCTGATCATCCGCGACATAATACTCGTAGTCCAAATCGATATCATCAACGTAAACCTGTCGATGCACGGCGAATCCCATCGGCGACATAATCCTCGGCGACGGTGGTCCCCGCTTAAAAGAGCGCGCTGGGGGATGATCATTTATTATGATCAGCAAGCGCGCATTATATCGATCGATTTGCCATCTGATCTAATTGCAATCTAGGAGCTTTGAATGACTTGGAAATATTAGAGAGATATTCTCGATAGCTATAAAATCACCAACAAATTACGAGTTTGAATTTATATCGCGATTCAGCCGACCACCGGCTTTCATCAGCGGAGTCACTCACCGACGGAATAATTGCTTCTGCTGCGTCTACTACTCTTGCCGGATTGCGATCTTCTCATATGTTCCATTTCCAAATAGACCGAAGGCGGTCGTAGCCCCGACGTCAAACTCGTTCTGTGATTCGTCGTGGCGCCTTCAACGGAGAGGCATCTCCTCGGCAAGGATCTGGGATTGAAGGAAGTTTGCTTTTCGGCGCTATCCGGCTCCTCGGTCGTTCCGTTGCTTCGCGGCCTCTCCGAATTCTCGACTGTAATAACGTCGGTTTTGTTTAATTTCTTTGAGCGCTTTAAGGAGCGATTGTCTACACAACAACAGCGGACATTTATCTGGATCTTGAACTAATAATATATATCTAGATAATCATTTAAACAAAAATATGCAAAAGGTATGCAAAAATAGAATCATTCGTATAAATCGAACAGCAAAATTCGCTGATACTTGCCTTTAGTTTGAGGCGGCGGCTGCCATCTCAGCATCTCGTCCTCTAGATCGTCCAACGCATATTTGTTGCACAAAACCGGCGAGCGATCAGCCTCGTTCGGACTCATTAGCAATTTTCTGTCCAACGATTGCGTCGTTATCCTGGAACTGGCTGTACGCGATAATAAAAGTATAACAAACAAATCAACCGACAGTTTAATTAATCGATTAGTCGATAACAAGCGCAATGCAGCGCGATCGATGCGCTTGAATTAATTAATTAATATCAACCGAATATTTTACGGAAGCAAAGGAGGGAGGGAGCCGACGCGGCGATGTGGGAGCGTTTTCGTCTTTCGTGTGTAACAATCCTGTGTGTATATCGTTTACTAATTTTTTAACAAGATAAATGATAATCTGCATTTTTAACATATATTATAAATATATGCAATATTTATATATAATTATATATTAATAATAATTTATATATTAATTATTCATGCAATCTATTAGTATCTTTATACATATTTTAGACATCCGACAACAATTATCTGATCGCAAAATGGGTTCAGAGATGACAACTGTTTGCGCGGATAAATAACAAAAATAAAATGAAACGTTCCAATACTAGTGTGCATAACTTTTCATATGTTAATTTTTTAAATTAATTTAGAACCAACATTATTAACTGACAATATAAAATAAGTAATTGGTATATTTGTTAAAAAGAGTACCTCTTACACTTTTTGGAGTGGCCATCTGAACATCCGAATAACGCGGCATAGTCGCGGCCTTAGTTTCCATCGGATGATTCGTGGAAGGTGCGTAAGCACTTGACACTTTCGACTCGGTTCCTTCGAATCGTCGATGCATATATCTATAGTTTATTTATATGTTCTGATCATTTGTTATTTAATATTTTATTTAATATTGATAAGTTTATCTATAAGTCTATTATTTAATTGATAAGTATATTATCTCTAAACGATTATTTTTTTATATTAAATAAAAAATAATTAGATCGATAGCATCGTATGCCATAATATGATTAGAGAAACTAACGATAAGAACTGTCCACCATTTATGCAAAAATAGAATCATTAATATGAAAGCAAGTTTTTTCACAGATTCTCTTATACACGTGTATTTCTTTCTCTCAATTTTCAAAAGGCAATTATTTCTTTAAATAATTCTATTATCATTTAAAACTTCACCATATCGAAATTAATATTATACGCAAACGTAAAATATAAATTAAATTTTTTATTTATATTAAAGAAAAAGAAAGAGAAGATGGAAATATAAAAATAAAAATTCCAAGAGATATTTATTTTATCCGTATTAAATTATATTCCTGGCTACATAAAAATCACGTAATTTAATTGAACAATTAATTATGGAAATACTGTTCGCTCGTCATATATTCAGTTCTCCTTAGACGATAAAGGTCCTCGACTGTATTCTCGACTAATCAAGAGATTGAATTATAAATCCAAGAATAATCTTACCTGCAATCGGTGTCAGAGTACGAGGACTTCGTCATACTCTCGGAAAGTCCCAAGGCCGAATCAGCTGATCGTTGACTCACTCTGATGGATCGGCGAAACGGGCCTTTGCTTGATCCATATCGTCTTGTAAAATAAATATAACATCTGTATACAATCGCACAATAGATTTTCAAATCTTCTAAGATTTAATTCACTTTCTTAATTAAATAATCCAAAGATATGTGTATTTAAGGAATGACGTTTCCGTATGACATAATTATAATATATTATTGACCAGCAATATGTAAATCTTATCTGACATATCAATATAGCATTTTTATATAATTTGAACTTCTATACATGTATTCTTTTCCATGTAATCTTTTAATATTTTTCACTGTAATATAGATCTCATTTATATCATATTACCCTGGTTGACGAACGGAGTACGATCTGACAAAGGTGTTACGCCCTCGTCGTTTTTTTGGCGGTTTTGTGCACACATAGCAACACACTTTCCAATATAAAAATCTAAAAAAATATGTACAAATGTAAAAGATAAAAGAAAATTATTTTTCAGCAGCGATAAAAACTACTAAATGTTCCATGTGTATGTGATATGACAGACAAAACGCAATTTTTGCAAGTTTTCCATTTTTCAGTGACCCGTGTTAGATGTGATTAAACATTGTCTATTATTACCTAAAACTGGACGCCATCACGTCTCCGATATTCGACAGGCAGAGCAACATGAGCGGAAT